GTTTTATTTTTAGTAGATCAAATTTTAAAAATTTCATATGTTGATTATCTAATTTATAATTTTATTATTATAATACTCACATATATGTTAGAATATCAATTGAGAATATCACTTATGAGTTGTCCCACATTGATTTAATATGATAGAATGTGCCTAGTTTAGAAGCATAGTGGACTACTCTCATTGATTTAACGAGTGCGGTCGTCACATATATGTTAGAATATCACTTATGAGTTGTCCCACATTGATTTAATATGACAAATGCGCCTAGTTTATAAGCATAGTGGACTACTCTCATCACCAATTGGTTTTGGGATAAAATCTCACTTGGGCTTCATTTGGGCTTTCCCTTTCATGGTGCGCTTGACGTACCCGTCACCCAACCAGTTGGGCTTGGGCTTCCGAATGACTCACAAGTGAGGGGACGTGTTAGAATATCACTTGTGAGACCCACCTTATAAGTCTAATGGACTACTCCTTCTTCCAGCAATTGGTTTTGGGATGGAACCTCACTTGGACTTGATTTGAGGTAACCCTCTTATAGTGTGTGGGACCGCACTCGTTTTGCCCTCGTTTGACAATATAACCTATAATATTTTATTAACCATAAACTTGGATAAGTGTTGTAATTTTAAAAACCATGTAAATAAAATTATGAAAGTTCATGATATAAATATATTATTCAAAAACTATGAGTAGAATGAGGAGTTTAGATTTTATCTTCAAATCCAATGGATTTAAGTAACTAAATTGCATAAATAGTTTAAGCACCATGTAAAATTATTTGATACATACCCAAAAGATAAATAGTCTTTTTTTTCCGAAACGATAATCAACTTTATTAAAAGCTCGAAAGCAAACATGTACAAATCGTACAACCAATTGGTCAAAACATCTACTCCACAGCCAGAGCAGACTCAAACACAACGAAATCACACAAGATTACCCCTAACAGCTTCACAAGCAAGCTTATCACTAAAACCACAAAGTCTACCACCAAATTTAAAACCAAGGAAAAGATCACCATCAATAACATTACAAATGTTCTGAAAAATCAACAGGCAGTAGGGGAGAAGCCCATGCCTGAGACTAATTTCTGCAGCAGATCTTTGCACTCCATACATGCACATCTTATCCATCCCCCAGCTTTTACAAGCTCCAGTCCCCATTTGATTCCCAACAGGTATGAATCTTCAGCATTTCCCTTTACCTGATCAGTTTTAACCCAAGTTTTAACAACCTGCTCTTGTTTTCTCAGCACACATCCAAACTCCACATTTTTTTTGCCTGAGATATGAGTACTGATAGTTATAGATAGATGTCTTACTCTCATCTCAGGTTGTTCACCTTGGTCAGCCTCACCACATCCCTTTGTCATTCTAGCCAATCTGATAGCATCCTTTTTCACCAAGTTTGCTGACTGAAATTCATTCCAAGCCTTTATTGTCTTCTCAACCAGTGCTCTATCAGATAGTTGTTCTTTAGAGCAGAACCAAGCATTTATGTCCTTCCATAATCCCCATAGTAAGTAAGCAGATAGAGATACCCTTCCTCCAATGCATTTCAGTCCTCTAAATGTAGTAATCTCCAACCACCACTTTCTGAAATCTCCATGTCCATTCTTCAGCCACTCCCATTCCAATCCACACAACTTCCAGCATCTGACAGCCCTAGTACAGTTAAAGAATATATGATTTAGGTCTCCTTCCTCCGAGCCACAAGTCTCACAAATGCTCCTCACCTCCATCCCTTTCTTCCTCAAATTTGCTTTTGCTCATATGAAGTTAAACCAAGCCCTCCACAGAAAATTCTTTATCTTGGCATGCACATTTAATTTCCAGGTGGTCTTCCACATTTGAGAGATCCCATCAGATTTAGATCAATTCCCATAGTTGAGGTGATTCTTCAAGGATTGCTTCTGTAATATGCATTATAGACTTCTCTCACTGAAAACTTTCCATCCTTACTCCAATGCCAGATCAATTTGTCCCTGTCACCATTGGCCTTCAAAGGAATTTGAAGAATTTGAGTTGTATCAAAAGGATTAAAGAAATGCAAAATACATTCCCTATCCCACTCATTTTCCCAGGCACCATCAAGTCACTAACTCTACCCAGCCCACTCATATCTCCCTGTAAGATGCAAAGAGGTCTGAAAGTCGAATTATTTGGAATCCATGGATCTTTCCAAATGTCTATAGAAGACCCCTCAGGACTTTACTAACCACCAAATTAGGCTTAGTTAATATCCTCCAGAGTTGTTTTACTAGGAGAGCTTCACTAACAGTCTTCAAATCCCTGAAACCCGATTCCCCCTCTATTTTAGGTTTTGCTACCTTATCCCATGAAGCCCAGTGCACCCTACTCCCACCGTGCTCATGTTTCCTCCACCAGAAAGTAGCCAAAGCTTTATTTAAATCTTTAATGACAAATATGAAAATTCTGAAGCATGACATAACAAAAAGAGGTATAGCCCCTAAAACAGGTTTGATTATAATATCCTTACCAGCTTCACTAAAAGACACCGCTTTCCAACTCCCAGTCTTATCTTTTATATTCTCACACAGAAAATGAAACACCTCTCTCTTGGATCTACCAATCCCTAATGGGAGCCCAAGGTACTTGGAAGAGGTAACCGTTGAGATTCCATTCAGAATCTGACAGATGGCATCAGACAAATCATCAGTGGTGTTTTTAGAAAAGAAAATGGAAGATTTCCCCAAGTTAACCAATTGACCACTATCATTCCCATAGACTCCTAAGATATGCAAAATAAGCTCAGCATGATATGAATCAACTTTACAGAATAAAATAGAATTATCTGCAAAGAACAAATGAGAGATCACAGGAGCTTTCAACCCAACTCTAATACCCTTAAACTCCCCATTCAACCCAGCTTTATGAATCAAATTTGAAAATGCCTATGACACAATAATGAACAGGTAAGGGGACAAAGGATCCCCTTGCCTCAGGCCCCTAGAAGGTTTAACAAAACCACTAAAACTACCATTAACAGAGAATGAATAAGTAGGAGTACATACACAAGCAAGAAGTCAAATGATGACCTTAGCACAGAAGCCCATTTGCCTACAGACTCTAGCTAAAAAATTTCACTCAACCTTATCATAAGCCTTAGCCATATCAATTTTGACAGCCATGCCATAGTTTTTTACCCTTTCTCTTACCGTTTAAATAATGGATGCATTCATTTGCTATTACCACATTGTTAAACAATTGCCTCTCAAGAATAAACGCAACTTGATTATGAAAAATGCAATGAGATAGGACAGGTTGTAATCTTTTAGCCAGAATCTTTGCAACAATTCTATACACAACAGTACAGACTTATTGGTCTGAAATCAGTAATCACAGTAAGATAAATAGTTAAATACTACTAATATTTACCGAACTGGAGAAGGCCTGAACTCAAAAGTGCATGAACCACTAACGAGCACATTAATTAGACAGTTTATCACACACACACACACACACACAAAAAAAAAACAAACACAAAACAAACAAAAAAAAACATATTAGTAATAATAATAAATGAATAAAAACAAATTGCGTACCTGATAGAGTTTCATCCGTCCTAGATTTACTGCAGCATTTATTGCTGGACTGTATTCAGTGTAATCTTTTAAAAAAAAAAAAAAAACAAACTTGTTTCTTAGACATATTTACGGTCCACGGTGTAAGAAACTGGGGGAAAAGGAAAGCCCATATGAAGCCCAAGTGGGGTTCCATCCCAAAACCAATTGGTGGAAGGAGGAGTAGCCCATTAGTCTTATAAGGTGGGTCTATTTTCCATGTATTAACAATGTGGGACAACTCACAAGTGATATTCTAACACGCCCCCTCACTTGTGAGTCCTGATATCATGTCTCTAACCCAGGCACAAAGTGGGCTCTGATATCATGTCTCTAACCCAGACACAAAGTTGGTCGGGCTCTGATATCATGTCTCTAACCCAGGCACAAAGTGGGCTCTGATATCATGTCTCAAACTTGGCTCTGGTACCATGTAAGAAACTGGGGGAAAAGGAAAGCCCATATGAAGCCCAAGTGGGGTTCCATCCCAAAACCAATTGGTGGAGGAGGAGTAGCCCATTAGACTTATAAGGTGGGTCTATTTTCCATGTATTAACAATGTGGGACAACTCACAAGTGATATTCTAACACACGGTATTACTAAACTGTCAAATTCGCGTGTCCTATTTTTCAGGCTTTCAGCGTACTAGTATCGTAGTTCTCGGACTTCTGGGCTCCATATTTATACCAAAATGAATAAATAAATAAATAAAATAAAATTAACAGCTCTAGCTGTATTTTTCTTCTCCCTTTTCTTCTCCCTTACCCCATCTATCACACAAAATATCACACACCCAACCCAAGAGTGCTTGGATGAGATGGCTTGGGTCTCTTCCAGCTTAACCAGTGGTCTCGTGTTCGAGTCTTGGGAATGCAGCAGTGTTAAAACTCTTGAGGGAGAGCTTTGCCGCCCTTGTGGTCCTACCCGGCTCGATTATGAATCCGAAAATCGAAAGGTCCCTGTACCAAAAAAAAAAATATCACACACCCACCCCCAACAACACACATAAATATTAAATAATAAATAAGAGAGATTTTAGGTCCTGTTACGAAATTATTCAGTCAGGGTTTATAACCATTATATTAATTATTCACGACAATTATATGATAATCTAACGGTTACAAATCATGACAAAATAATTCTGTAACGAGCATTTTTCAATAAATATTCCTAATTGTTAAAATAAAAAAGTTTCTCAAAAGAACCAAATGATTCCAGAAAAAATATGTGTGGGTTGCGCTGACACAAAATTAAGACAAACGCGGGCCCCACCACCCCAAGCATCATCGGACACCATTTTTACCTTACTCTCTCCTTCTCTATATAATCTCCATAACCAAGCCTCAAATTTTCCAAACTCCAAGCAAACAAAATAAAATCAGAAAAAAAAAAACAAAATCCCGGTCCAGTATGGCGGCCTCCGTCGAGAACCGGCAGTTCCCCTACCTCGAACCGGGCATCCCCCGCCCCTTCAAACCCTCACACCGCTTCCCCTCCCCGCCCGTCTCCGCCGCAGCCGCAACCAATAACGGTGGCAACACTCAATTTTATTACTCCTCGTCGTCTTCCGACGACGAGGACAACAGAGACAAAGTCGAGGAGTACCTCCGCGCCGCCAAAAAAGCCGGCGCTGAGCTCGAGCCGCCGGTCCGCGACGACCTGACCGCCGACGGCTGGATTGACCGGGACCCCTCCATGATCCGTCTCACCGGAAAACACCCATTCAACGCCGAGCCGCCACTCACCCGCCTCATGCACCACGGCTTCATCACGCCAGCGCCCCTCCACTACGTCCGCAACCACGGGCCGGTCCCCCCGGCCACCTGGGACGACTGGACCGTCGAGGTCACCGGTCTGGTAAAAAGGCCGGCCCGGTTCACGATGCACCAGCTGGTGACCGAGTTCCCTTCCCGGGAGCTTCCCGTCACTCTCGTCTGCGCCGGCAACCGCCGCAAGGAGCAGAACATGGTCCGGCAGACAGTGGGCTTCAACTGGGGCGCGGCGGGGGTGTCGACGTCGGTGTGGCGGGGGGTTCCCCTCCGGGCGGTCCTCCGGCGGTGCGGGGTTAAGGGGCGGTGCGGCGGGAAGGGGGCGATGAACGTGTGCTTCGAGGGGGCGGAGGATCTTCCCGGCGGCGGTGGGTCGAAGTACGGGACGAGCCTGAGGAGGGAGGTGGCGATGGACCCGTCTAGGGACATCATACTGGCGTACATGCAGAACGGGGAGAGGCTCTCGCCGGATCACGGGTTTCCGGTGAGAGTTATTATTCCGGGGTTCATCGGGGGGAGGATGGTGAAGTGGCTCCGGCGGATCGTGGTCACCACGCACGAATCGGATAATTACTATCATTACAGGGACAATAGGGTGCTACCCTCACACGTGGACGCGGAGCTTGCTAACGCTGAAGGTAATCTTTATCTTTTTTTTTTATTATTTTTTTTTTCGAAATTTGATTTTAGTTTCTATTTTAAAAAAAAAATGGAAATGATATTTGACACGTGTATTTTTATCATTGGTTCTGAAATATTTTGGTAATTTAATATGGCTCTTATTGGTTTTGATCATATTATTATTATAAATAAAAATAATAAATTGTGTGTTTAATTGAATTTGCAGCATGGTGGTACAAGCCCGAGTACATAATCAACGAGTTGAACATCAACTCAGTGATAACCACGCCTTGCCACGAGGAGATCTTGCCCATCAACTCGTTCACGACTCAGAGGCCATACACGTTGAAGGGTTACGCCTATTCTGGTGAGTTCAATTGTGTTATTTTATTGAATGTCCTTAATTAATATTGAAGTATATATACTATAATTTAATATCAATTTATTGCCCCCCGTCTTTTGGTAATTGTTCAACAGCACCTAAGTTATTTATTTATTATATATGTGCATTGTTTTTTGTACTTGTGGATAAAATTGTAACAATTTTTTGGTACTTTGAACCCACTTGAGAAAAAATGTGATCTGATACATCACTCTTATATTTAATTTATTGTAAAGGACAACTCTTTATCATATAAAAATATATAAATACATATATATATATATATATATATTTCATTGCTCAAATTATTGAATAAAAAGAATTTAATATTTTCCACATGATTATGCCCTAAGACATATGTAACTGTCGCAGGGGCGAAGCCAGCCTCAAATTTTACCGGGGTCGGCAATATTTTTTAGCGGGGTCATTAACCTAGTAAACAGTGTTTGAACAGTATTTTATACTAAAAATTTTGAAATCCATAGGGGTCAGCTGACCCCAGCCACAAGGTGTGGCTCCGCCACTGACTGTCTATTATTAGCTTATTTTATAAAAGTAAAAAAAAAATAATTAAATTAATTGTGATATTTATTTATTATTTAGTATATTCCACTAAAATATACGGTATCTGCAACTTAGGCTATGAACATGAAATTGAATATTCTGCAGGAACAATTTTTATTTTTTTTAAAAAAAAATATATTTACGTAAGAACTAAATATTTCGTTTTCAAACATGTTCTTTGTGTGGACAAGAGTTTATTTAGCAATTATATTCAGACCTATCACAATCATCTCACACAATATTGGACCTTTCCTATTTGAATTTTCCCAATTTTTTTATTTTTTTTTCAAAATTAATGACTTTTGTATTGTAATGGACTAATGTATATTGTATTTGAATAAATAAGGGGGTGGTAAAAAGGTGACTCGGGTCGAGGTGACTATGGACGGAGGCGAGACGTGGCGGGTTTGCGAACTCGACCACCCAGAAAAGCCCAACAAGTACGGAAAGTACTGGTGTTGGTGCTTTTGGTCTCTAGAGGTCGAGGTGCTCGATCTTTTAAGCGCTAAGGAGATTGCGGTCAGGGCTTGGGACGAGACCCTCAACACCCAACCGGAGAAGCTCATTTGGAACGTCATGGTACGTTTATTTATATGATTGGTCGCGATATTATTTGTCGTATGTGTTAGACGTGTAGATATACATGATTTATCATATAATTGTAATTAAAATGATCGTTTGATAGCATGTTCCAATCCATTTCAACCTATTCGTTGACTGCAATGTAGAGTTTTTTTTTTTTTATCAGTAGATCAACACACACGTTTGCGTTTGTGTTGATTTCAAATAGTTAAAAAGCAATTGATCAGTCACTTTAATTTGCATGTCCCGTCACTTTTTATAGAAAAGATGTTACTATAGACAAGTCCATGTTCAATTAATGGCACGCCTCATTTTGTTCTAAGTCACACTTTCACCCACCTACCCATTTTCATCCTCATTTCCCATAGACAAGACTCATAATCATAGTAAATGACCTTACATTGTGATGACTACATTCACACATGTTTTTGAACCACAAACATTGGTGTGTAACAATATTGATTTTTCAAATCCCTATAGGGCATGATGAACAATTGTTGGTTCCGGGTCAAAACCAACGTGTGCAAGCCCCACCGTGGAGAAATCGGGATCGTGTTCGAGCACCCGACCCAGCCGGGCAACCAGTCGGGCGGCTGGATGGCCAAGGAGCGCCACCTCGAACAGACCTCCGGCGACCTTAAGAAGAGCCTCTCGTCCCCCTTCATGAACACCACCTCCAAGACCTACTCCATGGCCGAGGTCAAGAAGCACAACTCCCCCGACTCAGCCTGGATCGTCGTCCATGGCCACGTCTACGACTGCACCCCATACCTCCGAGACCACCCTGGCGGCGCTGACAGCATCCTCATCAATGCTGGCACCGACTGCACCGAAGAATTCGACGCCATCCACTCCGATCGCGCCAAAAAACTCCTCGAGGGCTACCGTGTCGGCGAACTCCTCACCGCCGCCAGTTACACCTCCTCTCCCGACAACTCACTCCACGGCCCCTCCCCCCCAGGCCTCCCTCCCATAAACGAGATCTTCTCACCAGTTGCCCGTCCCACGACGCTCGACCCACGCGAGCGGGTTTCGGTTAAGCTCGTCTCGAAGACCTCCCTCTCACACAACGTGCGTTTACTCCGCTTCTCCCTCCCAGGGGAGTACCATGTGCTCGGGCTTCCCGTCGGGAAGCACGTTCTCGTGTGCGCAGAGATCGACGGGAAACTCTGCATGCGTGCGTACACGCCGACGTCAGACACCGACTCGATCGGCCACTTCGACCTCGTCGTGAAGGTATACTTCCGTGGGGTCCACCCAAAGTTTCCCAATGGGGGCGCCATGTCGCAGTACCTCGACTCACTGCAAATCGGGCAGTTTGTCAAGGTGAAGGGCCCGTTGGGCCACATCGAGTACTTGGGCCGTGGGAGATTCGTTGCGGGTCGAGAGCGGAGGTCTGCCCGAAAGTTGGCGATGATTGCTGGCGGGACGGGAATCACGCCGATTTATCAGGTGATGCGGGCGGCACTCAAGGATCCGGAGGATACGATCGAGATGCACGTGGTGTACGCGAACCGTACGGAGGACGATATTTTGTTGAGGGACGAGCTCGACTCGTGGGCCCGGAGGTACCCGGACCGTGTCAAGGTGTGGTACGTGGTGCAGGAGAGCGTGAGGGACGGGTGGGAGTATAGTGTCGGGTTCGTGACGGAGGAGATACTGAGGGAGCATATCCCGGCGGCCGGAGATGAGACGCTGGTGATGGTTTGCGGGCCGCCGGCGATGATGCAGTTTGCGGTGAACCCGAGCTTGGAGAAGATGGGGTTCGATCTCAAGAAGTCTATGCTCGTGTTTTAAGAGGAGGGCTTCAAATGGATTTGGTAGTGAAGTGTGAAAATGGGAAAATTTGGGGGTGTTGTTGTAAATTAAAAATGGTGGTTTTTAAGTTTTATTGTAGAACAATAAGAATGAAGTAAGCAGTGTGGGATATGTCCTGAGCTAGTGGGACACTTCGTGTTTCTTATTTTATTTTATTTTGGTTTGGTTTTGTAATTTGGAAGTTTGTTAATTTTTCTTTCCCCCCCTTAAATCTGAGTCTTATGTTTTCATCTGTGTGGCAGTTTGTACTGTACAAGTGAAGTTCATTAATGCATTTGAAGAAGTTGTAATGAAGTTCAATTGGTTTTTTTATATCTCTTATTTCTATTTTCATTTGTATGCATGGTAGCACAATGCTCGACATTAGACAGTGCAAAAGTTAATGAAGCCAAAAAGTTAGAAAAGCCCTACTTTACATTCTACAACGCCTTTACGGAACCATTCCGTCGAAGTTTGTAACCGTTAGATCAACTATCCACGATGTTAAGTTACATGATGATTTTAGTGTTACAAATTCCGACGGAATGGTTCCTTAACGGGACTATAACATTTTCCTAAAGTATTATACTTTTTAATAATATAAGACAATAATTTTAACCTATTTTTATTGTAATTTTAATTCTTTGTAAATTAAAATCCCCCTATATAATAATTTAGAACGTGTTGAGCCTAAACGGCAGGTCGCATGTTTCGGGATCCTACGTGTCAAACTTACAAGCTTCGGTGCCTTGGGTAGATTTTAATGTACTTTCAATCCAGAAATAATTAAGTTCAGATTATCTATAAATATGTTGATTAGTTATGATCATGTTTTAAAAGTTAATAACATTTGTATTTTTTATCAGTTTTACATATATAATATATTGAATTAATCATCTCGTGATGTCCTTCGATTTAACATCCATATTGTATGTTTAAAAAAATAAATTATAGTTATATTTCAAGTAGTTATATGATATAAGTAATAAAAATTACTATAATATAACACATGTAAGTCACACAAGTAACAAATGTCATCTAAAATATATAATAATATATATTTTTTGTATAAGAGTAAATAAAATTTAAAATAATTTTCTCACTAATTTTAAAATTAAGAATGATTTTTTAACAAACACTCGTGTAATACACAGGATTTATATATTGTAAATCAAAAAAATGTCTTATCGCTTATGCCTATACGTAGAGATAGATAAGTTGGGTTAACACTTAATTTGTAATTTTTTAGGTAAAAATACCGAAATCTATACCATATATTGAACAATAAACGAGTTAGGTATAAATTAATT